TGTCACCAGTTTACCTTCAGGGTAGAAGGCTCGGTTGGCCTGGGCGGGAGTCGATCCAAGATTTGACCATTTCCCATCGAGAATATCACGCTGGTCCTAAACGCGTGTGACGCGTAGGGTACTCCAAAAAAGATCGATCGATGCGAAAAGCCTTACCCTTTTTGTCCTTTATACAGCTATCCTGTTCAATTATAACTGCACTTTTCTCGTAAGTACAAACTGCATCCCTGTTGAGAATTCTAATCAAATGACCGGCTTTGGCACGCTTTTCGTAAGAGCTTTGACAACTCTGATTCCATTATGGGAATAAGGGCATGTCCTGCCGCTGAGGGAAAATTTAGTAAAATGCAGCTCCTCCTCCCCTCATAATTTCCTCTCCTGGTATATACCTCTTTTCCCCATTCCACCAACCATCATCCTAAAGGTCAGTTACCTCCTAAAGCTTTGCCTCTGCAAAACTAACCGTCGAGCGGGCGGGAGAGGAGGGAGGGGGGTGTTACATAGCGCCACGTAAATGGAACTCCAAAAAAGCACAAAAAACACAAGAAAAGTCAACAACCGGGAACATTTTACTCGAGAGCAATCACAACCCCCTCACTCCCTCAGGGCGTGCAAATACATCCCCCCAGGATTCTCAACGTGCGACATGCCCTGGTGGGAATGTCACTCGGTAATCTCTTACTCTTATTGAATAATTCGACGAAACATTCGATACCACCTATTCAGGTATACCAGTAGCAACGCTCATAGTGACAATCGTAAGCGCGTGGGTCTGCTGCTGAATTGATCCGATTACTGGCTGATGTTATGCACATATTACGAACAGGCAATGCGACTGAAATGACACATGTAGGCAGAACAAATCCTCTACAGCAAGCCCGACCCTCTACCGATTAATACTAGCTAGTGAGAAATGTTCAAATCCTAGTGCCAAAAACAGCTGCACTTCTAGTTGCTGCGAATGAAGGGGCGTGTCAGGCGGTATGAGTGAGCCACAGGAAGCCGGTAACAGTTCGTAGAAAAAAGGGTGATTCGAACGACATGATACAGTTTTGTCACTTGCTCGCTTCAACACTGGTGGAGAACGGGTTTGGTATCGCCAAACTCATCCTCCCTGACACGCCCTTCATCCGCATCGAACTAGACTATACGATAATGCAAAACGATCTGGCAGTATCAACCTCACATTGCTCCATTTTTCGAAGTTCGGGCTCACTTTCGCTTAAAACTTGTCCCTGGGGCAGCTGGGCAGGAACTTGTGAGATGCCTTCGGGAGTAGATTGGCTCCCTAAACACCAGTATCAGCCTCGTTTTATATAAAACTCAAAGTGACCGGCAAAATGCCCCTTCCAAGCCGAACAGCTCCCAACGCTTCATCGCAGCGTTAAAGGCGCCTTTAGCATGAATGCCATACGTTCTTGCGCCAAGGAGATGTGAAATGGTGTTCGGGAAAGAACAGGTTGTCAAACAAGCCCCGAAATTCTGTCCCTATCCGAAACTCCATGATCAAGTATCGAGATGAAACCGAGAGCAAATTTAGAAAGTAAGAGCAGCAGAAAATAAGTACTGCCATTAGAAACCATATTCAGCTTCTCTCGAAAACACTTCTTGGACGTTTCACAGATGAATTATCAACGATGCAGCCTCACCCCCCCCCCCCCCCCCTCCCTCTCCCACTCTGTCCCCCACTATTGCCGATCCATAATCACAACTAACCACTCACATTGCACTTTGCCTGCTACTACCACTACAAAACAGCTCTAACCTGCATGTTTTTCATGCACTCGTTGGATGTGATGGCAAAAAATACCAAAGCGAAAATAAACCTCAGCCTCGTTGAGCTCGTGTTCTGCCTGACGGTTTTAGTGCTCTGATACTTGAGATAGATTTCAAAGAGGGAGTAAGTGCCATCAAAAGGGCATATTTTACTCTCAGAAGAAAAAAGCAAATAAGTGCTAAGACCCCAGAAAAAGCGATATGATACGATATTCAACAAGAGCTAGAGTATTATGAGCGGAGAACATCAGCCCGATCCAGCCCCCAAGTTATCAAAACATTCAGTCAATAATTCTACCATTCGGGCCACTTTCTGATCCCCAGGAAGAGACTTGACCAAAACGTTATGGAGATTGTATAACCCCTCGACAGGAATTTTGCATCCGCCGACGTAAAAATGCGTGGCACACACGATAGACGTCAGTGACACAAACCTATTTTGGGACCGGCGTTTGTGGCGTCCTAAAGGTGGAAGAGGTTATTCATAGAACTACTGCAAAGCTTGGTTTTCTGCAACGTCTGTTTGAGCCAGAAGAGTGAGCTCCGGTGTTGGGGTCTGTGACAAGGGAATCGTAATTCGCCGCGCTTGTGGGCGTCGCGTGCGGCACGCAAATGACGATGGTTCCAGGTAGAAGATGGCGACAACAGGCAATTCAGAACCGAAAGTAGCCATAATAAATGAATGTGATGGCGGCGCGTCAATCCTCAGGTCAATACAAGTTAAGAAAACGCCGCGCCCATTGCCGCGCGCGGTGGATTACGATCCTTTTGCCCGTCTCCTCCAGCGTTGAGAAGCCAACTTGAAGGAGGGTACGCTAACATTGATTACGTTATTTCCACTTCCCCAGACGCTTTTGCACGAGCCTTTCAAATGCCCTTAAGATCATAGTACCGATAAATGAACGAAGCAGCGTATAGTTCAGAACAAGTTTCCACCCGCCCTCACCCGACAGGCAGTGTTTTCTACCCTTGCGAATGTGAAATTCGTGTTCATGGGACAAACTACCTCCACGACGAAATTTTGATCGAATCTACTCAGGGAAAAAGAATAGAGAAAAATTACTCATGACTGCTACTATGGCAAAATTTCCATCAGAAGCTGTCCAACATTTCGAAGGAACCAAATTTTGTCTTAAGGGCGAGTGAGAGGGGGGGGGGGGGGGTTGGAGGGGTAACCCGAAGACGACTTAACTTGCCACCCAAAGACGACTATCACATTCATACACCGTTGTGCCTCAAAAGGTATAAAATGTACATATAACAGGAGATCATGAACCACTTACAAATGTAGTATTCGATCTAGGTGGACAACGTCTGATAAGAATCTAGTCTGAAATCGGAAAAAAAATTGTAGCCCTGAAGCCTAAATGGTGCTAAAAGATCCGAAAGCCCCTACCTTCAAACCGCATTTCTTCCACGTGCAAGCCGATCTGGTGCAAAACACGTTGGACGAACGCACAGCCGGTATTGGTTGGCATTGAATGCGATTTGTATAAGTGCCACAATCGCAGGCAAATCGTCTCGAGCAAAAGAATTAATGACCGTCTGAACGTCGTGTCATCGATCAGCTCGATAGCATCCAATATTTCCATCACACGTGCCAAGTCCTTGTCACTGACATCTCCGCCATCTTGAAGACGCAATCTCATGTCCATGAGGAAATACAAGTTATCTTCAATCCTCATGACCATCTTTCGCGACTTGCCGATTTCTAGGAATTAACGCATCAATAGAAACTGGCGACTTCTAGGCAGGATTCATGAAACTCAGCAATTTCGAACGAACATTTTTCCAGTAATGTATCCCCCGGACCATACCATGTACCACTACACATTATGGTGCCGTCTGTAGAGCCTTAATGGACGTAGTTCTGCGACTAGGGTGGAGGGGGGGGGGGCTCCTTGGACTTTTGGTGCCTCACTAGTTCCGGTTTACAAGTCTCACGCTGGTGAGACCTGTGATCCCTCGTGAAGCTGGAGCAAACAAGTCGAGCCACCATGGTAGACGGTATTTGTATGAGCCACCATGGTAGTACGATTTGGTATTATAGACTGTTTTCACAAATGACAGTTACTTTACTTTGACTGGGTGAGTTCGACGACGGGAGGAGGGGGAGGGGGATTTCGCACGTTTGCTACTACCCATCGACGTGTCGACCCATCGAGAGAGCCATTTCATGTGTTTACAAGAATTGACAGGTTTTACCATGACGGCTCCAGGGCACGCCATCACGTTGTGATCATTTTTCTTGAAAATTACGACCCATTCCATCCTGAAATACGACCTCTTTTTTTGGGAGTTGGTATGACCCCTCTCCCAAAAATGACCAAGTGCGCGACCCCCCCCTCCCCCTTTTACAGCGTCGTGAAACAACAGAAAACAACTTTCCAAAAAAAATTTCTCTGACCAAATACGACCCCCCCCTTGCGATGCAGAAAACAACTTTCCAAAAAAATTTCTCTGAATACGACCCCCCCCCCTTGCCCGATGATCACCAACGATGGGTACCCTGGGTGGAGTCAGCGAGTGCTTGCTCCATTTCTTTAAACAAGTGTTCACAAGTTCAATGCAGACTGGGATTTTAGGACCCGAAACTAGTTGAACGTGCAAAATACCCCCCCCCCTCCGTCGCCGAACTACGCTACTTTGCCTGGTATCGTTTTGCTGCCTTACAAGATCTCACAGATCTCCACACAGGGAGGAGAAAAGTGCAAAATTTCCCAACCCCTATAACCAAATTGCGATCATTAAGGCGCTAACATTGTTCGAACGGGACAGCAACCCTCTGCATTCCCTTATCCATGACTATCTCACACGGTCCTGACGACCAGAGCGCCCAGTTTATCAAAGCAAACCTAGTGGCTCGCCGAATGCCGAATGGCTCCTCGAACTACGTCAGTAGCGCTACGGTCCAACGAAAAGCTTGGAAATACTGGTTATGTCAACCAATGATTCCAATTAAACAAAACAAAACCGATCCATATGAAAGATTTATGAAAAAATATCTAACAAGAAACACCGGAAGTCATCGCGAAGCAAAGATAAACATGGAATCAAATTATGATCTACACGTTCAAAGGCCAACTGAAAACAGGGCACGTAACAATCAACAAAAACAAATGGTGGCGTCGACCATGTCTATCAAAGAGACAATAGTTGTTGTTATTAAAGTCGATATGATCTCGCCTACTCGTCATATTCATCATCTTCTTCCTCCTCCTCGTCATCACCATCCTGAAACGATACGATCGCTCAGGAATGTTTTTGTTGGCAAAAAAAAAGCAAAACAAAAGACATACCTCGCCAATGTCAAACATATCATCACCAAGATCAGCTTCACCAGTATAGAACAGCACCGCACGAGGAATAATATTGTCACGAAGCACTTGTCCGATTTCAAAGTCAGCTCGCATAAGGTCATGTGAGTCCTTCAATGTAATATGGTAGTCAATACCGTTCAAAGTAAAAAATAAAGTTCGATAAGAAAAACACTCATAGAGAACATCTTTGCTGCCTTTTGAGTTTTTTGGAACAAAATTTTTGGAGTTTCACATTGTTATTACACACTCATAGAGAAATCACCACAAGAATGCACGGCGCAGTTTGTCGACGGGGGGCATTTTGCTTTCCATAGATGTGTCGACCCATCTAGGCAGCCGTTTCTCGAGTTGACACGTTTTAGGATAGTGGCTAGACGATCTTACTTCAGCTTCACAAGAGTTCACAAGTTTTACCAGAGTGAGATTTGTAAATCGGAACTAGGGGAAGCAATCGATTATACAAAATCCCCCCTCCCCCCCCGTCGATCAAAACAGCGCCGAATGCCCAAAAACCCTTTTTATGGGCAGAAGTTCAGACAAGTACTCACTTGAACATAGACCTCACACTCCGGAGAAGTGCGCTATCCTTATAGCCCCAGGGTCATTTTTAGCTCTGTTTGGATGGCTTTTATGCCGTAGCCTTACAGCACACTGGTTTCACATAGTGAGTCGGTCAGCCGTCAAGCTGAGAGGGTAAGAGCGGGTATGGTATGTGGCAAGAGAAATCGTAATAAACGCTCCAGTCGTAACGCTTTGCCGACGTCTGAGCCGATAAACGACTAGCGCATTTTTAGTGCGTACTAGGTCGACAATATACAATGTATTGACCAAAAATAATTTGACATAGGCCTTACCATTGCATTTGTTCATAATAATATCTGATGGTGCAATCTGCATATAAGTCACTATTTTATTTCTTACTTAGTGCAAATCAAAGAATACTGTTGTAAATGCCGCTTATTGCCACAACGACTCGAAGCCGGCGGTCTACGATCTCGTGCTCCGTCCCCGGTTAAGTCCCGCGCCTCCATTTCATACATGTCTGTGAGAAATGCCGAACCGCGGAACTGTGCAGAACTGCGGAATTGGGAGAACCGCGGAACTTGCAGAAGAAAGAATGCTTATCGATTCAAAAAACCGCGGAATGGGCAGAAAAACAGAAATTTCTGCATTCCTGCAGATTCCGCATTCCCGATGGATCCCTATCAAGCGCTGTCCGTCGTTTCGGCATTTCTGTACATTCTGCACTTCTGCATTCCGAGAACGTGAGGTGCAGGTTGAAGTCCTTCTGGGATTTCGAAATCTTGATTCTTCTTACTTTCGGAACATAAACTGCGGCGTTAAACAGATTGTCATCACAAAACGACTAATGTTATAACATGTTCGTCACTACGCATCCTACACAGTAAAACTTCTCGAAATTCGAACCCCACTTCAAAGGAAATTCTTTTCGGGAAATATACTTGTGCAAAAGTTTGTGGCTAGAGGAAGCCTACTCCCCTGACCACCAGTTTGTCGCTTATTTAGAACGAAAACTTTGACATCTGCACCACAGACCAGTTTTGGCGCTGGGGTTCATGGCACAGGTACCACGCTTCTCGAGCCAAAACATGTAACACTAGTGATGAAGAAAGCCAAACTACCCGTGGGAACACAACTTAAACGAAATCAACTCCGAGAGAGAAAATTTTAACGAAATTTTGACCTGAATTACCACGAGATGACAGAATGAGTAAACATGTTTAATGAATAAATGTAGTCAGGATTTAGTACAGTCGATGCTAAAACGTAGCAACGCCTGGTTGCATACCCGACATTAATCTTGTGCGAGAGCAGGCGGAATTCAAAGCATTACAAGAATTCTACCCCTGCGCGCACGGTGCTTCTACATGCACAGCCGTTTCTAATTATTCTCACGAAGTAGAGGTAACTTCTAAGCTGTACATATCCCTACCCCCTAGCCACCTTCTACACAATGCAAAAAAAGGACTTTGTAGAAATGAAATGCCAGTAAAAATATGTGGCCCACAACTCACATC